CCATGTTGGCCATGTCCAAAAATTATATGTTGAGGAGATTATTTTGGTACCTGTAGAGAGAGGTTGGATTGGAGAGAAGAGGAATTGGAAGCCAAGAATCCCATTAGAAGGCTGTGGCAGCATTAGTCTAGGAAAGAGAGTTAAGGAGGGCTTAAGTGAAGGTGGAGTGCCCCTGTTCTAATCTAATTAATAAATTAATCTGATCTAATAGATTCTCTTGACATGGTTTTGAGTTCCTTTAACCTGGTCCACTTCATCTAGATCCATTCCAGCTTGTTGGTGAGTGTTCTTATGAAAAGAGGTTTCAGAATCACCCATCCTAGCTGCGATCTAAGGCAATAGAACTATTGCCTGCCTTCCTTCCTTCCTTCCTTCCTTCCTTCCTTCCTTCCTTCCTTCCTTCCTTCCTTCCTTCCTTCCTTCCTGCTTGGTGTAGAACAATAGTATAGAGAGCATGTCTGTTCCCATTACTGTGTGTGTGTGTGTGTGTGTGTGTGTATCCCTTACTGAGCTGACCTTTTCTTGCTAAAGTGATTGCTGATGTGCTTCAAATTCTGGATGTCTCTTTCTGCCAAAGTCTGTAGGTGTAGAGCTTTGTAACCCTCAATTCTGTCAGTCCTATTTTACAGTATTCATTAGTCCTCAGTGTTGCTGTGCTGAAATTGTAGTGGCCAAAGCTTTAGAATAACACTCTAGTTTGCGGACTGAACTGGCTCCCTTGTTCCCTTATAATTTGGTTTCCAACCATGGAATGTCTTTAATTCAAAGCGTGTGTATATGCCACAGTATTAATGTTCTTTAAACATTTTTTGACCTAAGATGTTTGACTTCACCTTTTGGGGCCCAACTTTCCTCATCTGTCAAATGAGGGAATTGGGGTACATCACCCCTCAGACGCCCTCCTAACTCTGATACTATCTTAGAGACATACTCCAACTTGGAAACGTTTTGCAAAACCTGCCCTCTTAGTCTGTGTGTTATAAGATGAGCCTCTTGAGCTTCAAAGCATCATAACCTCATTGTTTCTTTTGCAAGCATTTGCAGCAACAGGAAAATGAGAATCGCCATTTGGGAGAACTGTGACAGAAATTCAGTTCACTAAACATTGAGTATTCTGAGGCACTGTGCTAAAACTAAGGTGAGGAGCAGGAAGAGGGAGATACAGAACTCAAAAGGAAACTGAACCTTTTTAAGTAAAGATCTCAGAGGGGAAAAAAGCTAAGCTCCTTGTCTGGTTCTTTGTTGGCTGCCATATGCATATACATATAATTATAATTATATTATATATAATATTACATAAAAGAATATTGCAATTATAACATATATTATAAATATAATTTTATGCATGTGTCGGTGATCTGTAATTTAATTGATATAATTCCCTTCACTGCCCACCAAAACTTAAGTGGTCTCAGAATTGCTGTCTCTCCAACCCCCCCCCCCCCCCCCCCCCCCCCAAATTTAGTCTGAGGCCACATGTTAGTAATATCCAACAACAAATATTTACCACTGGTGCCATACTCTACTTTTTCAGCTGAGTGCAACCTGAGTGATCTGTTGGCATAACCCTTAAAACTCTAGGGTCACCTTCTGATGAGGCAACAGTGTAATGTAAAGCAACATATTTATATGTACTTATATTAGGATAATAGGTTTTCAAACCAGAAGAAACCCCCCCACACACAAAAATCTAGTGTAACCCTTTCGTTTCACAGAGGAGGAAACTTAGACCCGGATAAGTTATGTGACTTGACCAGGGTCATGTAGGTTGTAATAAGTGGAACCAGAATGTGTATCTAGGCCCTATGACTCTGGAGTCAATGTTTTTTCTGGTACTCATGTATTTACCATTTATTCTTGTATAATCATCCCCTCACCCCTTCCTCAGTATATTTGTTGTTATGTATATTGGGGGTTGAGGGAAGGATTCTAGCATTTCCTTCCATATGCATATGTACATACATACATACATATGCAGGTATGCACACATGAGTGCACAATACACACAGATGTGTATAGTGTATATATGCATGTGTATATGTATACACACACATATAGATATGAAGTTCTACTTTAAAGATAGCTGCCACAGCTTCCAAAGCCCGCTTGAGATGAGAATTGCAGCTTGGCATTAATTACTTTTGAAGGGACAGCCAGAACTAATCACTTATTGCCTGATTGCCTTTAAACTCCTTTTCTCTCATCTCTGCCTTCTTCCTGGCCTTCAAAGCTAGGGGCACAGGATTCTCTTTCCCATACCCTCACCCCAGCGATAGTCTAGCTAGGTAAATAGTCTCGAGCTGCCATAGCCTTAAATCACTGCACCCTTGCTCCAGCTCCAAACAAAGAAATGCCTAAGCCCCAAACTTTCCGGGAAAGAGAAATCTTAAATGTAAATGCTACCTCATCCTAATGACTTCCAGATCTTCTCCCTCCTTTGTTTCTCACAAACCCTCAGGCTCCTTTTAAAAGGCATTTTTTCCTGTGGCTCTCCACGCCTCTAAAGGGAGAGAGAAATGTTGAGTCTGGAGTCTTAACCTTGCTACTGATGACGATGTATTTCTGGGTGAATCACTGTCTTTTAGTAAACAGGGAAAGAATTTCAAAGATTAATGAGTTGCTAAGAATAGCAGAGGAGGCCCAAGACCCAGTGACTCCCATAATCTTCACTCCCCACATTGCAAATATCAAAGAGGTTGGGGGCTAATGCATGTAAACACATGCCTTACTTGCCAGGATAGATGTGATTTAACCACTGCTGGAACTACATCTTAATGATCTTTTTGTCTTTTCCAAATACCTAAGCACTGTGCTGTTACATGCATCTTCTTAATACAAGTAGTGGTCAAATGACTGTTCAACAGCCATCTGGCCAAGCTTTGGTGTCTTGTGGCAGGAAGATGAGACGAATAGGATGTGCAGCAAAGCGTCACCAACAGAGGATTTAGAGCTAGAAGGAACCCTTAATTAAGCAATACTTCTTAATCTAGGGCCCATTCACTTGATTTTTAAACTAATAATTTGATTTTTGTTACTGTTCAGTCATTTTTTCAGTCATATCCGACTCTCCCTGACCCCTGAGTTTTCTTTTGTCAGTTTTCTTGTCAGAGATGCTGGAGTGGTTTATCATTTTCTTCTCCAGCTTGTTTTACAGATGAGAAAACTGAGACCAGCAGGGTTAAGTGACTTGCCCAGGGTCATACAGCTAGTAAGCGTCTGAGGCCGATTTAAACTCAGGAAGATGAATCTTCCTGACTCCAGGCCTGGTGCTCTCCTCGCTGTGCCACCTAATCCTTTGATAACTGTATTTTGATATAGGTTTCCTTTGTTAATCCAGTGTGTTTTATTTTATGCATTTAAAAACCTTGTTCTGAAGAGATCCTAGGTTTCACCCTACTGCCAAAGACGTCCATGATGCAAACAAGTTAAGAACTCCTGCCTTAAGATTACTTAGTGGAACCTCCTCACTTTACATATGAAAGAACTAAGGATTAGAAAAGAATGGCCCCTTTTTGGGGAGAGGGGACATATGGCTAACCAGTATTTGGGTTGGTACCACGTATTTGTGACATGTAACATGTAAGTGGCCCTTACTCTGAAGGGTGTGTCTAGTGTCTTCTAGTGAAGGCCCTGTTATCTGTGTCTTGTCTTTGACCTTGCTCAGACCTTGCTTGGTTTTTTTATCTGCTCCTCCAGGCAGCTTTACCCAGCTGCACTGGATAACTTGTTTTTGTGCCCATGTTTTTTTTTTTTTCTGCCGCAGGCTTCCCTTTGTAGCAGGACTGAGACCTGCTGCAAGTTAAATGCCTCTGACTGTTCAGGTGAGTGCCACCACTTTCAGTTCATCTTTCGTGTATTTTTCATGGCTGTCAGTTGTACGTTGAGCTCCTTACACCCTTAGTTGGGGATCAATTTGGGATAGCTGTAGCGTTTGGTTTTTTATTTTGAATGATGAGGGGCAGCATGGTATAGTAGTGCTGGACTTGAAGTCTGGGGAGACGCATTTAAATGTGACTTCTGATTGATCAGTTCTGTAACTCTGGAGAAGTTACTTCAGCGCCTCAGTTTCTTCATCTGTAAAAAGTGGGTTGTACTATCTACCTAACCCAAGGTTGTTATAAGGAAAGTACTTTTAAAATAATTAATAACGAAGTTTCCTTCCCTCCCAAAGCTATCACATTTATTTCTATTTGTACATCTTGTCTCCCCAAATAGAATATAAGTCCCTTAGGGGAAAAGACTTCCCTCCCCCCCCCCCCCCTTTTTTTTCTTCAGCATCTAACAGTGTCTGGCACATGCTATGTGTTTAATAAATACTCAGTGACTGTTGATATAAATATGGGTAGTGATAATGATAGCTGCCGTATTTCAGAATGACTTCTATACATAACATGGATATGCTCATGTTCTTTTTCTGGAGTGACCACTTTTAATAGACTTTGGGGAAGAAAGGTGATGTAAGCTTTCCAGAACCCAGGAATGATTCCTTTTCTCTCCCTCCTTTCTCCCCAGTGAGAGAAAGTGAAGGCCCTTAAAGGTGGGTGGGGCTTCTTCAAAGCCTGAGGCACTGTTAGAAGTTAGGTGTGTTCCCATCTACCCATCACTCTCTGACCCAATTCATTCCATTAAATCCTCTCTCCCCAGAATGAACACACATTGCTTATGCATCTGGAGGAACCACCACATACCATTTGACTGTAGTAGGTGTTCTGTTAATTGATACCCTATAATTAACACATACTATCTTGCCATCAAAACACCCAAGTCAACTAGGTTCCCTGTGATTAATTATCTGTAAGGTGTCTTCGGAGAGTGTGCTACCTAGCCTATGAGTGACTAGGTAGGTATGATGTGAAAAGGTGTTCAAAGGAATGCTAATTCACTTTGGAAGCTGTCCATTGTAAATAAAAATACCTATTGTCTTTGCTGCCTCTTCCCAGTGAGAGTGTTGAAGGAGGAGGAGCATGACTCACTTTGTCTTTTCCTCCTCCTCTTTCTAGATGCATTGCCATCCTTAAACGTGGGTCCATTCGAGAGCTTTAGGAAAACTCACTGTCACAATGGCCAAGTATAAACTTGTCTTGTTAAGGCATGGAGAAGGAGCTTGGAATAAGGAAAATCGCTTTTGCAGCTGGGTGGATCAGAAGCTTAACAGCGATGGAGAGCAGGAAGCCCGAAACTGTGGCAAGCAGCTCAAAGCCCTGCACTTTGAGTTTGATCTTGTCTTTACCTCTGTCCTTAATCGGTCTATCCATACTGCTTGGCTGATATTGGAAGAGTTGGGTCAGGAATGGGTTCCGTTGGAGAGCTCCTGGCGACTAAATGAAAGGCACTATGGAGCCCTCATAGGCCTTAATAGGGAGAAAATGGCACTGAATCACGGTGAGGAGCAAGTGAGAATCTGGAGAAGAAGCTACAATGTAACTCCACCTCCCATTGATGAATCTCATCCTTACTATCATGAAATCTACAACGATCGGAGATACAAGGTTTGTGACATTCCTGTGGATCAGCTGCCCCGCTCAGAAAGCCTGAAGGAAGTGTTGGACAGGCTGCTTCCCTATTGGACTGAAAGGATTGCCCCCGAACTGAAAAGCGGCAAAACTGTTCTCATCTCTGCTCATGGCAATAGCAGTAGAGCACTCCTGAAACATCTGGAAGGTAGGAAACGTAGTGCTGCTTACCAGATTTACATGATGTGCGTAGGTGCTATTTTTGGTTTAGAAAGGATGTAGTTATTAATACATGAACTAGACGTATTTGAACAGCTTTATCTTTCAGCTTCTTTGTAATTCAGGTCTGAGAATCATCCTATTATCAAATAATATGTGTTTCTCTCCCCCCCAAACATCTATTCTTTCCAAACAATGCATATATAAGGGAAAGACAAGGCTAGGAGAAAATATAATATTTAAAATGAGGTCACTGAGCTTCCATTCTCAATATGCACGTATTAAGTGTGTACCATATACCATACAGGGTAGCTAGGATAGAGTGCCAGGCTTGGAGTCAGGAAGACTCATCTTCGTGAGTTCGAATCTGGCCTCAGACACGTGTGACCCTGAGCAAGTCGCTTAACTGTTTGCCTCGGTTTCCTCATCTATAAAATGAGCTGGAGAAGGAAAAGGCAAACCACTCCAGTGTCTTTGCCAAGAAAACCCCAAATGAGGTCACAAAGAGTCAGGCAAGACTAAACAAAAACTGAACAACAACATATACTAAGCACTATTTTTAGGCACTGGTGATACAGATACAAAAATGAGACAGCACTGGCTTTCAGAGAGTTTTCATCTGGTTAGGACAGGTTTTCTTAACCTTCTTTTACATCCTGGCAGTCTAGTAAGGTCGATGGACACCTCAAAATAATACGTAAAATACATAGCAAAGAAAACTACAGATTAGTGAAAATAAAGATGTAATTTTTTTTTCCCTACCCAAGTTCATGGATGTCTTCTAAACTCTATCCATAGATCCCTTGGGGGTCCTTGGACTTGAGGTTAAGAACCCCGTACTAGGGGATAAACAGGGTGTACAAAATAAATATGCAGTGATCTGATGGGGAAGGAAATAAGCATTTACATAAGCACCTATTATGTGCCAGGCACTGTGATAAGTGCTTTACAAATATTATCTTATTTAATCCTCACAACAGCTCTTTGAGGTAGGTGCTGTTATTATCTCTGTTTTATACTGGAGGCAACTGAGGCAAACAGAAGTTAAGTGACTTGATTTGCCCAGGGTCACAAAGCTATGAAGTATCTGAGACCTGATTTGAACTGGGATCTTCCTGACTGCAGGCCAGTGCTCTGTGCATTGTGCCACCTAGTTCTCAGGGTGAAGGAGAAGGAGCTAAACTAACAAGTAGGGGAGTTGGATTAGCTGCCTGGAAGGAGGTAGATTTGAGCTAAGCCTTAAACTGATCTAAGATGGGGAGGTGGAGAATGGGAGCATCCCAGCCCCGGGGAACAGCCTCTGAAAAGGTCTGGAGAGAAGTAGGAGATGTAATGTTGGTACAGGGAACATCAGGAGGGGTGGGTAGGAGCTGGCTAGGCTGGAGCCAGATTGTGAACCAGATTCAAGAGTTCTTTGTTCCGATTAGCTTCAATGCTATTTAATGTATTCAAAGTTATTTTCCATGGCTAATCCTCAGGCCCCACCCTCTTGTTTTCCAAGACTAGCTCAATCGGGTTTTCTATGTTCAGAAGCATAAAGGAAAAGGACAAATCCCTCCAGTTTGACTTAGCATCGCTGAAAGCTGACCCTTTGCCCAAATGGATTTTCCAGATAGCTAAAATTTAAGGACCAAAACCTTTATTTCCACTGTTTCTAATACAGTTCTTTCTGTGGCTTATATGTTTCCCTTCATTCTTAAGCAGCGTTACAGAATTATGACCCCGAACCATAGTTTATAGAAGAGTCAACAGTTTTTAGAATCCCCAGCTCCCTTCGAGGCTCATTCAAGGCCTGAAGGCTCTTTTTGGGAAACCATTAGTTATTATTTGATCCCCAGTTCCTGGTGACGTATCCTCTTCTTCCTGAAGTAATCAGGTGTTTATACGTACCTTCAAATATGATGTCCCCACTGATAGAATGTAAGCTCATGGAGGACAGGGACAACTTTGGCTCTGTATCCTCCAGTGCCTTTAGCAGATGCTCACTGGATCAAATGGAAGCTTAAATTACGAACGATGGTATTTGTATCACAGCAATACAGTGGCTATCAATATTTAAAGTTTGTTTACTTCACACACTAACTCACTCTAGACCACGGTGCTTTGAGATCTTGTGGTGTCTGCTTCTTAGGAGTGCTCTTTGGGTTGTCCTTGGTTCTATTCCTTTTTTTTGTTGTTGTTCAGTCATTTTTCAGTTGTGTCTAACTCTTCATGACCACATTTGGGGTTTTCTTGGCAAAGATACTGGAGTTGTTTGCCATTTCTTTTTCCAGCTCATTTGACAGATGAGAAAACTGAGGCCAATAGGGGTAAGTGACTTGCCCAGGGTCACACAACTCATAAGTGTCTGAAGCTGGAGTTGAACTCATGAAGATGAGTCTTCCTGACTCCAGGCCTGGCATTCTATGCACTGTGCCCCTTAGCTGCCCCTCTGTTCCTTTTACTTCCCTTTAAAATATGTTGTTCCTGTAACTCTTGTCAGCTGGAAGAACAGAAATTTCATATTACTCTTTGTAGAATAGATACTCAGGTACTTATGCTGTAAATAAAGAAGAGAGATTTAGTGTGAAGATATTGACATTTGCTTTTGGCTGCTGAAAAAGCCCTCATTTGCTTTTACACTGAATATAGTTTGCTGCATGAGTAAGCTTTTATCAGGTGTTTTTCAGCCTTAGTTTTATGACACTGTCTAGATAAAGGCTGCTATGAATTAGATCTTAGGTTCCTATATCCATGCCTGAGTATAACTTTTTCATCCAGATTGTAAGCTTTTCAGGGCAGGGACCTTGTCTTATACCTGTAGTGGTTACATATTCCAGATCTCCAGGGATGTCCTAATTTCAGGAAAAGAAGTATTCTTCTAACAAGAGTTGACAAAAAGAGGAGACTTTCCAACTGCATCCTCCATTTTTTTCCTTCTCAGTGCCCCCCAACCAAAAGCCTATTTTCTTTTTTTTTAGCAACAAAGTATTTTTTAATTAAAATGTTACCTTTTTATAGACATAATACTATTGTACACTTAATAGACTACAGTATAGTGTAAACATAACTTTTATATGTGTTGGGAAACCCAAAAATTCATGGGACTCTCTTTATTGCGTATTCACTTTATTGCGGTGGTCTGGAACCGAATCCACAATATCTCTTAGGTATGCCTGTATTATTGAGTCACAAGAAATAACCAAAAAAAAATTCAGAATAAAATTCAAGAAGGTTAATATGAAGTGACTCAGAGAGGCAAAACAAAGATAAAAAACATGCAGTTACCACAATAATGTAAAACCATTAAACAAAAAAGGTATCAGAATTCAGATGAATGCAATGACCCCTTGCCTCCACAGGGCACACCCCCCAATCCTTTAGGGACTGATGTGTTGGACTGAGAGTGAAGGATGAGGCATACATGGTCAAACATAGTCAGTTTACCAGTTTGTTTGACAAAAAGCCTGTTTTCATTGCTTAGATCCCTGCTTTGTACATAATAAGTGCTCAATAAAATCAGTTTGAAAGAAGATATTTAGTACCTATAGAAGTATCTTGTGCTCCACATAAGATTGAGGATTCCTTAGGGGAGGGTGAGGAAGGAAGAGCAAATTTTAATCAGAAATGGATGTTTTGGGGACATTAGAAAAAAGGGTATCTAGACTACCCTTCTATTCCAGGATTCCAGAGAGGACTCTTCTAACTCTACACAGACTTCCTTCCCCAAAGAATAAAGTCTGTGACCTCTTGCAGAGACTGTTCTTTTTTCTAACCTCTTGGTCAGGACATCCTTATGTCTAACCCATCCTTCTAAGGTTCAACACCATTCCTTCTTGTCCTTTTCCTCAAATGTTGCTGTAGTCCATGAATGGGTGCAAGATTCTACAGCTGTAATGGCACCTCCTCCTAGATACTCCTTGTGCCATTAACTTCCTTCGATTCTGTATGAAATGGAAGGTCCTGATCATGAGCCAGTTTATTTAATTGCCCTCCAATCATAGTTGCATTCTGTAGGTCCTTCAAAAGACAAAGTACATAAATGGATGGAACGGGAGTTACTATTTTAACAGAAGGAGGTTTAGGAATTTAGGTTTGGTATAAGAAAAGAATGTAAGGGGAACAATATAAAGTGTTTTGAGGAGACCAATTAGGAGCATATTACAATAGTCCCATAGAGAGATGTTGAGGGATTGAAATAAAATGGTTGTTATGTGAGTGGAAAGGAGTGAACATGTGTGAGCACTGTGCACATAGAGAAGTGATGACGAGTGACCGAATGTATGGGATGAGTGAGAATGAGGAGTTGAAGATGACAGGGAGGATTAGGACTGCGGTGACTGGAAGGATGATGGTACTCTCAGCAGAAACAGGAATATTTAGACTAGGGGTAGATTTTTGGGGAAGATAATGAGTTCTGTTTTGGACATCCTGGGTTTGAGATGCCTAGGGACATATCCGATAGGCAGTTAGTAGTGTTGGACTGGAGCTTGGGAAAAAAGGGTTTGGGAGTCATCTGTATAGAGATGATGATTAAATAAGCCCATGGAACCCGATGAACTCCCTAATTGGGACTGTCAAGAGAGAGGAATAAAGAACCTGGGCCAGAGCCTTGGGTATACCCGTAGATCAGGGAGTGTGTGATTCAGCAAAGGAAACCAAGAAATAGTAGAGAGGTAGGAGACGTACCAGGAGAAGGCAGCATCAGAAAACCTAAAGAGCATGATCAAAACCGTCAGATGCTTCAGAGAGGCCAGGAAGGATGAAGACTGAGAAACAGCCACTGATGTGGCAGTGAGGATAAGATTGGTACCTTTGCAAAGAGCAGTAGTAGAAATAACAGTGGCTTTAAATAAGAAATACCTAGGTTTGTGTCTTGGCTTTCTACTTACCACCAAAGTGACCTTGGGTGAGTCACGTCCCTTATCTTGACCTTGATTGCTTTATCTGCCAAGTGAGTGAACTGGATTAAATCCCTAAGAACCCCGGCGACTCTAAATCCTACAGTTC